TAATATTATGAATTTTAAATAAATTAAAAATGTTAATTATTTAAATAATATGTAAAATTATACTAAAAAATAATATTAAAAAATTATTCCAATCATTTTTCTTGAAAAAATGTTAAAAAGTAAAATAATAAAAAAAAAAGCTACATCAAGTCCAGTACGACAGTGGACCCTACAACAACATAAACTCGGTTAAGTTTGGACGGAATGATAACATCAGCTGTTGGAGAAGGGCTGATTTGTCAACGTTGACGAGTTTAAGGGGTTATATGCTACTGGTTTCAGTTTAGGGGCTTTTTTGTTACCTCCTAATAAGTTTAGGGAGTAATTTGCATAATTTGCCTTCTTGAAAAATATGCGAGAAAAAAATTAATGAATTAAAAATTATGTCAAGAAAAATAAAAATTGAAAATATCATTTTTATCTTTTTTTAATATTAATATATAAAAATCACCTTATAAAAAATAAAGTTTAAAAAATTTTAGGGAAAAAATTTTTCCTCTAATCACACACCTCCAGTTATTATCTATTTAAATTTTTTAAAATGATGGTAAAAGAATTTAAATTGGCATTTCTTCAAAAGGTAGAGTACCAAATCGATGCAAGGCATACTGTACAAGGTCAAACATTTAGTGGGTGTTCGGTTTATTTTTTTTAAAGAATTTTATAAGAATATTTTAGTATTTAAATATTTTAAAATAATAATAAATAAATAATAAAGTTGATATTTTTAATTTTATTTTTTAACATAATTTTGAATTTATAAAATTTTTTTCTCATTTTTTTAAAAGAAAAATATTTTTTATAATTTTTTAACTCCTTTTTTAATAAAATCTTTTTCCATAAAAGTTATCTTTTTAACACAAGAAAACCTTAAGACTCAAACCCACGACCTTTGAGCCTGTGGTATCCCGAGGCTGATGAATATTTTTTTTTTTTTTTTTTTGGGTTTTCAGCACAATTTTTGCATCGTTTTCTTATTATTCGTCCAATAGCAGTGGTTGCCTTAAATAATATCTAATTATAATTTCACAAATTGGGCATACGCCATATGATATATATCAATTGCATGGAGGACCTGGAGAACTACTTGTGTCAGTGATCTTTTACACCTTTTGGATTGACTGATGAAGGGGTCACTTGAAAGATTTAATTTTCCTCCCACTTTAGTTTTGTGCCTAGGAAAATTGAAGTCCAAGCGATCTTTTATAAGTATTACGTTTTTTTGAAAAGGAAAGCTTAGTCCCATCAAAAAAGAAAGTGAAGCTTAGTGTTCTCCAAAACAAGCATGGTATAGAGAACAAAAGTACAGTCCACTACATCAAGTAAAGAATGAAAGATGAAGTATTGGATTGAGCAAAAGACATCCTAGCACTCAATTTTCAGGAGGAAAAAGTGGCCTATAAGATTTTGAAAATGATTCCCTTATTAGGGTTTGGCTTGCCCTATTTGTTACATTATGGTGGTGGTAGATTTGCCTTCTCTATTTACCGCAAGAAAACATTGCAGTTGGATTTTAGGTGACTCACATTAATTAGTCCTTTACTTTTTTAGTAGGCTACAAATTATGATATCAAAATGAAAAGATTAGCTTCTCTTCCCTTTCACTTCTTGTTGAAGTTGTCTTGTGATGAGCCTGATGCCCATAAATAATGTGGGGACATAATTGAGGCATATTTTTATTTTACAATCTTAACTCACAATCTCACGTAGAAGATAGAGTTTGATTGAGTAAATCAATTATAATTTGAATAAGAATTAAACCTTAAACTTCATCTTTCATGTTAAATTATAAATAACGTTTGTACCTTAATTATTTTTTTTTACAATATGTGACTATTAAAGATGTAATAAAATTGCGTTATTTCTTTCTTATGTAACAAAACCATGTTTTTTCTTTGTTTCTTTCTTTCTTTCTTTCTTCTTGTTCTTCTTTTCTTTCTTCTTGTTCTTGTTCTTCTTTTTTTTTTTTTTCCTGGTCCTTCACTCATCTTTACTTAGGTCAATTGATTAAGGATCTAGACGTTAAAACCCCATAATCTATACATTGTGAGTTCAGCTCCTATAGTCACAAGTTTTCCATATTGTGTACATTTGTCTCTACATAAAGAAAATCTTTACTTGTCAATAATTTTTTTTTTTTAACATGTCAATAATTGAAATGAAATAGGTCAAGTCTATGGTCACTGAAAAGGAAACTCCCCCATATTTTGATCACAACCAAAGAATATTAGCAAATAGCTTTCAAAGAAGATCTATAAAACCGAAGGAGTTGTGGCTTCATTAATTAAGAGTTTACTCTTTATCTTATTGATTAAGATTTGATTTCTGTAAAAGGCATGTAAAGAGATAATTTCTCATGAATTCTTTAATTTTGACATTAATAACTTATTTTTGACCAAATCAGGAAGGATTAACTCTTGATGTACATGTAAACTAACTCAAAACACCCTAACTGATAAATTTAAAAAAAAAAAAATTTGATGGAAAAGCATCTAACCATAGTCTTTGTGTTAAAAATCCATTATGTCAATGTCTCACATCCACATTAATTTTTTTAAAGGTACCGGCTAACAGCATTGCTTGACATTTTTCCGTAAAACTTCAAGAATGAGAAAATTCCTCTTTCCCATGATGCCCGAGAAAGTTAAATGGATGAGAGAAATAAAAAAGAAGAAAAATATAGATGCACCACTTTCCTCAATGGGAACATAAATATTTTATTCAAAGTTAAAATCAAAGTCCTTGTAGTTGAAATGTATTTGAAACTGATTGATGTTGAATTTTGCAACTATGCCTGTCTGTTTTCAAATGAACTTATTCATTCGCACAAAGGAAAAGCAGGAAAATCCTTCTCATTCACAGTCATCCGATCTTATCGTTTTCTGGAAAAGTCTTCTGCCTTTTGTTTCACTCCCATCCTGTTTTGAGACAAATGAGAGGTTTGTGACAGAAACAATTCTTCATCAAATACAGATTCCATAGGTCCATAACATCCTCTTTTTTTTTTTCTGAAAAAGATGAACAAACCTTTACTTTTTCGGCGCCTTGCAGACTAAAACAGTTTCAATATATCTAATCAGAATTTTGAGTATAGTGGTGTATCATAATGTGGAGCTATTAGGTGCACTAAGGTGAGAAAAATGATGAAATCGTTGCTCTGCTTTTTTGGAGGTGAGATGTTGAAAGATATGGGTTCTTTCCCAATTTGGGGGACAAGACATGGTTGAGGCCTTTTGTGGGGTTTAAGAAAGCCATTTTGAAGTGGGGTTTCTCAATAAGTTTGATTCTCATACAAATGCATGCATCGCTAAAATCCACAAATTATGATGGAATAGCTTGTGGATGAAAAAAAATACCAAGTGGGGTTTGTCTCTCTAATGTTTAAGAACTTGAGGATGTAAATTAAACAACAAACATGGGAGCGTTTCTTTGAACTAAGTTCATCTATCTGGTCTGGTTAAAAGTTGGATTAGCCACACGGTACGTGGAGGAAATTCCAGAGGATCTTTGAATTTATACATCTAAAGAGGGGATCCTTAACAATCTTTTTCTTGTCATCTTTCCATCTTTTACTAAACTCCTTGAAGAAGACAAGGTATAGAGACAATAGAAAAAAAGGAGTTGATGGAGTGTCCTAATCACTACTCATTTTATAGTAGCTTCATGTTCTTACAAGATGATTTGCCATATTTCCTTAAGATCATTGTCCGAAGCTACTAGACACAAAGATGCAAACAAAATGACTCAATTTGTTTGCCCACCCAACACCATGCTGCATTATTAAAAGAGAAAGAGTAAACAATTCGGACCCCTTAACATGTTTTGTTCATATTCAACAAGAAAGGTTTGGCTGGTATATACAAAATTAATCAGATTGAGGTAAGGTTATAGAAAAAGTAACAATGATTTCAGCAAGGAAAGAGAGCTCATTCTATCCAAGAGAAAAGATGTGGTTCAATACAAAAGAATTTGATAAAATTCTTGAACTCATCTGTGACTAAAACAATGCTAAGTGCTATCTGGTCAATTAAAAACCCAAAACTGAAAAATGAAAATCTTGCCTTCGTTTCTGCTCATGGCAGTTGTAAAAATCCCAGGGCATACCAAGGTGTATTGTCAAAGGTTGATGGGTGACTGAAACTGCCCGATTAAAGAAGAATCAGATATGTCATCTCTAGCATCAGCATGGCCAAAACATGAGATGTGTGGCAGAACTTAGAAAAGAACTTCAATTAGTAGCCAATGATGCAAACATGATATCTTTGGGACTGCTTCTCTTCATTTATGTTTGTACTCTGAAGTTATCCAAGCCAGCTTAATCTATGCGGAATGAATCATTCTGTTGCCTGAATGTCCCAATAATAATGTGCGGGAAGACAACCATGCAAGCCATAAACAGGGTAAACTGCATAAAGATAAAATCAATTAGGCAGTTTACACAAGTTAAATAGCACAGCATATAAAATGATGAAATAAAAAACATTGGTACCAGAAGTGGTAGGGTCAAGAAGCTCCAAATTGGCCATAAAGCAAAGCAGAGCCTGTATGAAAACTGTTAGCAAAAAACATGCAGGGCAGTTGAACAAATTCCATCCAACAAATTTGGCAAATAGCAGTTGTTTTCTCTTACAAGCAAAAAGAGAGAAGTCCAAGCAGGGTAACAATTGGCAATGCTGATATACTTAGTGATTCCCACTTTTCATCAAACCTCCTCACCCTCCATGCTACCATACTTGTATAAATGAAGATGACAATATTCAATCCAACTCCCACCATCCCCAGATATAAAGGCAGTCTGCAGAGGAATTAAATGATGTTAGAAGGGATATATCAGCTGAAGCATGCTCATATATTGATAGAGAATAGTTCAAGCTAAGAACCAAAACTATCTACTGAAAAGGTTTGTGCTTTGCATGGTGCAACTAAAGAAATATTTTAATGTGTAAGTCTAACTGTCTTTAAGAATATCAATACTAAACTAGCTTCAATCAAATTCTAACTGCTAATTGGTTAAGCACCATGCACCATTCTAATTCCCAGAATAATGTTATTCTAATCACATTATCCACCATTATTTGCTAGATTAGACACTAAAATCTGAATAGGTTTGGTTCGAGCTTAATGAAGCAACTACATCATATTTGAGAACTTTTCAAGAATTGGAAATGCCACAAGAATGTCAAATGAAGCCTTCCTAGAAACTAACATAGAACTAACATCAAAGGAGTGCTCCAACTTTACAAAAATATTCCCAAGGAAACAGGAAGGGAAGGATGGACAGAAATAGCATTTTCATTTGAACAGGAGAATGATGGTACCATAATATTGAAGCCACTCAGTTGCATGACTAGCATGTGGACAATATATTCAAGATCATGAAATCATCATTAAACCCAAAGACAAATTCCTTATGAGAATTGACTGAACTCTGTGCAAAGAGCACTTGAAGTTAACTTGGTTTTGCATGATTGAAAGTATCACCTTCACTTTTTATGTAACTCACCAATTTAAGCAATGCCCTACAAATTACACAATGATAGTGCAAGGTGACTTGTTAACATTCACACAATCCATTATCCAAACCCAAGAGTCAACTTTTTAAACTTTGATGATCCATGGATAGGTTTCTGCAACATATCAAATTATACAGAACTAAACATGTTTACTTTCTAAAGCAGCTCACTTAGTTGATGATTCGAATAAAGATCAACTCAATTAAACGTAACAAAGCTTCAACCCCACTTAATTTGAGCGAGCTAATTAAAATTTTAAAAATTTCTGTTCTTTAGTTTGTCTAGGTCTGAATCTCTATAAAGTGCCCAGAGTGCTCCCAGGACATTTTGTTTAGCTTTTCTCTTATCCTTTTATCAAGTGTATTTACATTTTCACATGCCAGGACCATCTTAGTTAAAATCCATGAAGTCTTAAATAAATTAAAGATGAAGAATGCATTCTCATGAATCACAAAACATATTATAATGCTATTTCCACTCAGATGCCCCACACCCCCCCCCCCCTTCCAATACATATTTATAAAATAACATAAATTGTTATACAAAATATGGATGATCTTTAACATGCAATTACTAAATCTTCTTCATCTGAGAATCAATCATGATATAGAAAATACAGTTCTCAAGTGTAATAAAAATGTAACCAATGACAACATAGATTCCACTCCTAAACCTAACAGTAAATATGCAAATTAGAATAACCAATAATTATTGTACTGGCTTTCTTCCCCACCCAACACAAACACACAGAAAAAAGAGATGCATGTAAATCATGCCAAGAAAAAAATAAAAGGAAAGGAAAATGAGACAGAATATGCTTATGACTTGATGTGATCAGCTTTACTTTCTCAGTTTTGAAACAAATATCTTCTGCTTCTGCTAACATTTAAATAACTTCATGAATTCTTTAGCATATCTTATATAATCACTAAACACCATGCTTCCTTTGTCTCTATTAATCTATACCTTGCTGTATTGTGGCTTATAACATTAAACTTTGCAAATGCAAAAATGTAAGGTACATTGGACAGAGAAATAATTGGTTATTCATATCCAATTATCTCAAAAATTACTAGGAAAAAGGGTTTCATCAATCATACATCATATATAAAATGAATTAAATGAAGTAAACAAATTTGAGACAATCAGTTACCTTTTGATACGATCATCGTGCCACAAGAGATATATCAAATTGGAGTGCCTATCACCGAAATAGATGATGAATAATGCTGAAGCAATCCAAAGGGCATTCTCAATAATCTCAGTCCATGACCTAGCCCTCGGACTTGGCGGTGAGAAAGGCTGCAGCCTAGAACAGGCATCATCCTCAAGATCCTCACCCCCGGATGCATACCCCTGACTGTGCCTCAGCCTCATGTATCCACCCCCACCAGGCGTCCCACCAGACATTTTCACTCTCAAACGCAAAAAGAATGATAATCACACAATTCACCACAAAAACCAACAACAACCTCCACCTGAAGTCAACAAGACCTCACCAAATTTAATAAACCCGATTTAATGGAACCCAATTCCATTAAACCCTACTCCATATCACTTCTTACATGTAAATTGAATAAATTCTAAAAGTTTGAACAAAAAATGCATACAATTCAATCAAAACCACAAATCAGCTACCTATATAACGTTTGTGACTGAAAATTGAAGCACGACATTGATCATTAAAACCTAGGGGAGAGACAGAATTACACTCAAAAGTCATAACCCACTAATGATTCTTATCAATGAAAAGAACCCATCAATAAATTTGAAGAAACAAGAAAATCCCACAAACCCGTCTGAATTCAACCATAATCTTGAGAACCAGATAGAGACTGAAGTTTTCTATGATATCCCCACAGCTATGTCGCCGATTCCAGACATCAGTTGCAAGGAAAGGAAACAATCTGCCCAGGAAAAAGGTGTACTAATAAATAAGAGCCGGAAAAGTGTCAGACTTGGGTGTCTTATGTTAATGTTGGGGTGACGAAAGGGATCTATTCTGTGTGTTAACGTTTAATGTGTTGTTGGAATTGGAAGAGAATGAAGATTAAAACAGAGCGTGAAACCTGCGAAATACGCAATTCGTTTCCTGTAGCTATAGATGTAATGCGATTTAATATTACATATCAATAATATAACACATTGTTATATAATTAATTTTCATTATTTAAAAAATATATATAATATGAGAACCTAGAAAATTAAGATATTTTGATATTAAATTATTAATATATCTAATTATAATTATTATTTAAGTAAAGTATAATTATTATTTAAGTAAAATTTTATTTAAATGATGGTTATGATTGAACATTTTAACGATTTTAATAGCAAGACGATCTTATTTTTATTTTTTATAATGTTTTTTTTTTAATTTTGATTACACAATGAGAAATAATTATCTTACATCTTTATTTCACCTTACCTGTATATCATACGACTTGAATTTAAAATTTTTTATTTTCAGTAAAAAAAGATCACTACTTAATTATTTAGGTCGGTGGTTATTTTTTATAATGTTATTTTTCATAATATTAGATTATAATTATAAATTTGTAATTAAAGTATTGTATCTATAGTGTTGCTTGTGTACAAAAATTTATCATAATCAGTATGTCGGTTAAAATTTAATAAGTTTAGTTTCTTTTAGTCTAATATAATAAAATAAAGATATAATAATTAATTACAAATATTTATTTTTATATTTAATTAATTATTACTTAAATAAGTTTTTTTATTTAGTAATTTCTTTATTTTAAAATAATAATTATTTCTTATTTTAAATTTATCTCAAGTTAATTTTTACTTTTTAAATTTATCTCTGATTAATTATTTTTTTCATTATTGAAGATAAATAAATATTTTTTAATCATATTATTATTTATTTATTTTAATTAATTATTATATCATAAAAAATCTATCTTTATTTTTTATTTTTTTAAGATAATATAAATAATATAAATTATCTCTACATTTTTAATTTTAAAAAAATAAAAAAGTGACAAGTATTTTAAGATAAGAGGAAATAATATATATTATAATTATTTTTTAAAAATATAAGTAAGATAAAAATAAATTAATTAAATAATATCTTAAAAATAAAAAATAATTAATTAAATTTAAACTACTTAAATTAAAAATTAAAGTTTATTAAAGTGGAATCAAAGGATTAGTTTGCTAGGTAAATTATTTCAACAACTCAAATATATTTTTTTATTTTTTTAACTTGAAGTTACTTTATAAAAAAATCTTTTACATTTCATAACTCATATGTATATCATATGAGTCAAATTTTTTACTTCCACTTAAAATATATTATTACTAGAGAATTGGTTAGCAACTGAAAACTAACTTTTAAAAAACATGCTATTGCTAAAACTAATGAAGAATTACAATTTAAATACAATTAACTTGATAAATTATTATTTTAATTTAAATAGAAGTAGAATTGAATAATATATAGAAAAATTAAAGAGTTGTTGACAACATTTATTCATAATAACTATATAATATAGTTATGTAATATTAAATAAATTAATATATTTTAATTTATGTATTTGATTGAATGAAAAGAGTGATTAAAATTTCCTATCAATCTAACAAAAAGTATTGGAATAACTCATCAAACTAAATGGGAAGATTGAACTGAGGGATCAAAGAAGGGAGACGAGAAGTGGAGTTGGGTTCTTTTGACGTGTGCTTAAGGCCATTTTGTGCCTTTGGGGTGCCAGGGAAGCAAAAGCAAAGGCGGGAGATGGGGATGCTTTGCCGCCACTCTATTAATGACATTATCTTTCCAATTTCTAAATGCCAGTTGCGGCTGCCTAATTCCAAAAGGAAATGTTACTTTTGAGCAGTGCTAGGGGCACTCGCTTTTTGCACTCTCCGGACAACACTTCCCCTTGCATTGGGCCACGTAAGCATCTTTAAAGCTTTCAGGGCAACCTCTGGGAAGCAAAATAACGTGGCCCAATAAAAGAGAAAGTGTTGACCGGAGAGTGCAGGAGGCGAGTGCCCCTAGCATTGCTCGTTACTTTTTTGCTTTGGAATTTTCTACCGTATCCCTTATGGTATGTCTATATATTATTGAAAGGAATAAAGAGAAGGAGAGAGAAAAAAAATTTTATTTAATTATAAAA